GAATGCGTGTAAATTAAAATATCGGGTACAAGTCATCTGGAAACTGATTCTGAATGCGTGTAAATTAGAATATCGGGTACAAGTCATCTAGAAACTGATTCTGAATGTGTGTAAATTAAAATATCGGGTATAAGTCATCTGGAAACTGATTTTGAATTTGTGTAAATTAAAATATCGGGTATAAGTAATCTGGAAACTGATTCTGAATGTGTGTAAATTAACTACTATCACTTTCATCACATGTATTGATCTTAAGCCTAACTGTTATCACTTTCATCACATGTATTGATCTTAAGCCTAACTATTATCACTTTCTTCACATGTATTGATCTTAAGCCTAACTATTATCACTTTCTTCACATGTATTGATCTTAAGCCTAACTATTATCACTTTCTTCACATGTATTGATCTTAAGCCAATAAAACTGATTTTCAATGTAAGGAAATTAACGGATTTGTTGTAAGTCATCTGGCAAACTTGGCGATGAGATAAGGACACAGTTATAGGACTGTTTTAAAAAAGACCTTTAAAGAAATTGAATGGTATAACATTCCTAAGCATTATCTGTTACATTTTATTTTATAAGCTGTTACGTCATAGTTTAAAAAAGCTTACTGTTGCAGCGTTGTAATAATCCAAAATTCCACCTCCTCTGTTTGTAAGATTTTAACAGCTTAATCTGCCAGTCTGGAGTTTGTTCAAAATGATGTTTTAACCTGTTTGTGCTGTTTGTTAGTTTATTTTGAATTTCGCGCAAAGCTACACGAGGGCTATCTGCGCTAGCCGTCCCTAATTTAGCAGTGTAAGACTAGAGGGAAGGCAGCTAGTCATCACCACCCACCACTAACTCTTGGGCTACTCTTTTACCAACGAATAGTGGGATTGACCGTCACGTTATAACGCCCCCACGGCTGAAAGGGCGAGCATGTTTCGTGGGACGAGGATTCGAACCCGCGACCCTCAGATTGCGAGTCGAGCGCAATAACCACCGAGTCATGCCGGACCTGTTCGTGCTGAAGACTTGCGCAAGTAGATGGAAATTTTGTTCTTTTTAACTTCTAGTTTTGATTTTTACATAAAATAGATCGAAATTTTGTTCTTTTTAACTTCTAGTTTTGATTTTTACATATTGATTTCGATCTGTTTTGTATTTTCTATAGCAACCTTCCTATAACTAAAAATTAACTTCTGATCAAAGCAAACTATCTGTACGTATATCAAAACAATAATCAACCCAGTAATAAATATATTGTTCTGACTTATAAAGATTAAAATGCATTGTTTTGTCAGACAGGTTCCCTCTCTGCTAGCGATGTTTTCGGTCGTAATCCAAAAAATATCTCATTCGCCAGATTAGATACAAGTTATTCCTAAGTCCATATACTAATCTAACAATACAACATACTCTTTATAACAGAAATATTATAATACAAAATTAAACATAACAGAAATAGATATAGTAAATACTATCACCAATACCATTAAACTATCGTCAGTTGTTACATATTCAGCTAATAATGTATAAATGAATAACCTAAAACATGAAAGAAGAGTGAATTTGGGCTTTGCGAAACCAGAGTGAACGTTATGGAACTTTGAATGAAGATATGCGTTACAACTGAGAACACACAAAAGTAATGTTTTCATAATTAATTTTGATAAGCGTATTTACTCTAATCCATATTTTAAATTTTTATAAGCACGTTTACCGTTATCCATATTTTTTTATTTTTATAAGCACGTTTACTGTAATCCATATTTTTAATTTTGATAAGCACGTTTACTGTAATCCGTGTTTTTAATTTTGATAAGCATGTTTCCTGTAATCCATAGTTTAAAACAATTTTCTCAGATATTTTTACTCATCCTGGTGTAAGTAATTGTAAATACATTTCATCTGGTTATGTAGATATGCCTGCTTTAATTTTAACTAATATTGTAATTAAAATACTCGGTAGAGGCCGTTGGTGTATTATGCACCGTTTACAATTATTAATAAACTACATTGGTTTAGTATATGCTGTTTATTCCACATTCAATTCTATTTTTTATATTTTTCAGGGTACTGTATATCGCAAACAATAGATTGTAATTATATATATTGGATTTTGTAATTCTTCTATTATTACAGTATTTTTTGTGAATGAATTAAATATATGTGTATATTTTCTCGATACTCGCAACGAGTTTGTATAATTTCATCTTGATAATTGTTTGTTTTTTTCAAACAAGAAAATCATTAAACAATCTCTGTTCAACAGAAGATGAAACAAATGTGATCCATCATCACACTTGTACAATAATTATGAGAAAGTAGAGAAAGGAATATAGCACAAAGTGGACACTGTCATTACATGTTACACAAAGTGGACACTGTCATTACATGTTATTTGATTTTTTAGAGCTGGCTGTGACTGACACTCAACAAAGTGAACACTGTCATTACATATTACACAAAGTGAACACTGTCATTACATGTTACACAAAGTGGACACTGTCATTACATGTTACACAAAGTGGACACTGTCATTACACGTTATTTGATTTTTTAGAGCTGGCTATGACTGACACTCAACAAAGTGAACACTGTCATTACACGTTATTTGATTTTTTAGAGCTGGCTGTGACTGACACTCAACAAAGTGAACACTGTCATTACACGTTATTTGATTTTTTAGAGCTGGCTGTGACTGACACTCAACAAAGTGTACACTGTCATTACACGTTATTTGATTTTTTAGAGCTGGCTGTGACTGACACTCAACAAAGTGAAAACTGTCGTTACACGTTATTTGATTTTTTAGAGCTGGCTGTGACTGAGGCTTAACAGCGTGGTTGTTGTCAGTACGTGTTATTGGACTGATTTTTTTTTTGGGGGGGGGGATCCATCACTGAAATTCAATAAAGTAGTCATTGTCAGTACATATTATTGAATTTTTTTAGGTCTGGCTTTGACTGAAGCTCAACAAAAAAACCATTGTCAGTACATGTTGTACAACTGTACACAGATGGTCAGACCGTTTCTCAATGATGACCGTTACATGTTTCCTACCAGCCCCAGGGACATCGACGACATGTGCAAGTTAGTGTTTATTTATCTAATCGTGAAATTTGAACGTAACGATATAAGCTGCTGTGATATGAAAATGAACGTTTAAACAGAAACTGTTGTACTGCTATTTATGATAAAGATAAGAAAACGTCTACAACTGTGATATTAAATAAGATTTTTAAATTTATTTTCAAATCATCTTTAGTGTGGAGAAAATTTGATGAGATCTATGTGTAATGTGTTTTATTTCGCTACAACTCAAGAATGTGGAGTGGGTTCGTAGACTGTGTCCGCCATTTTATGACCGACTGTTCATCAGAAGACCAACGTTCCAAGTTTAACAACGCTGTTGGCGATTCCATGGATACCGTACACGCCATCTGTAGTTCTGATAAGTACCAAACAGGTAAGTTTCAAAATTAATAATTATTATTAATTACATATATATATATTAAATATGCTAGTGTGAAACATATAACGTACAAAAACAATTCAAAATGAGCCAACCAAAACTTGTAAAAACTCGAAACTTACCTGGAGATTTGAAAGAAACTTTAATTTCATTAAAGCTACGTTAATTGTCAAAATTATATTTTCATTATTTTTCGTCTGTCAACTATTCAAAAAAAGAATACAATCTGGGAGTGGCCTGTTGGTTTACGTTCTCAAACTGTGAATCTGAGAGTTTACGGCTCGCGTCCCATTCCCATAAAAATACTCTCAGTACTTTATTGCCATGGGTACACAATAAAAGTGAAACCCGTATTCCACTATTCGGTTAGAAAAAAAGAGTAGCCCAAAAGTTAAACGGTGGGTGCTGTTAACTAGCTGCCTTCCCTATGGTCTGTCAGTGTAAAATTGGGGAGAGTTAGTGCAGATAACCTTTGAAACATTTAAACAAACGACAACAAATACAGTGGGTGCATACTCTAAATCTTTCCATATAACTCGGATTGACTCATCCGTTCCTTATTTATCGTTATCTGTCTTATATCGAAAACTAGTGTCTTGTTGCTAAAATCAACTATATATGACTGTTTCATCACTGTTTGACTTCCTACATATCTTCTCTGACTACACAGAATACTTGGCCAATGCTGAATGCTTCAAGCGCGTATCTATTGGCAGCTGTGATTCGTATTATCGCCGTATGGTGGAGCAGGTGTCAAATCAAGAAGCTGAAAATAATCACATATGTTGGTAAGTGCTTTGAAGTTGTAAGAATGGAGTAATTGTTTGGCAATTTATTACGACCATTTTGATTTTTTGTTTTAATTTAGTGTAATAATACTTTGAGGAATATTGATAGTGCTGGAAAATACTCTTAATTTTCTTTTCCTAAACATTTCTAACATATACAAATTTCTTGAATATGAAAAAAATCGTGTTTTTCGATAGAAACTCCAAGCTTTAATGGTATATAAGGCACACTGACAATTCGCTTTATCTTGACTTTCAGAGTACAAAAGACAAAAATATCTGAAATAATGATGATCGTCAAAGTTATTGCATATTTATAAATCTTCTTTCAATATATAATTGTTGAAAAGGGGGCGTATATTTATGTCGATTCCTTTCCGAAGTTGGATATTATTCATCCACGATATAAAAAATAAAGAGATAATCCCCAACAGAGTAAATTAACCTACAAGACCTTTTGGAGAACAATAAATTTAAAACAGAGATGTTTCTAAAATACTTATTGAAGCACTTCGTTGAACCCGATCGTTTTATCCGGGTTCGAATTTGTATGACGAGGTTGTTTGAATACATGAGTCGGTTGATCCTAAAGAATCCTGAACTTGTCCTTTCTGTTTTATGTTTTAGTGCATACAGCCAGTTCAAGAACTGTGTAACTGAACCTTTGATGGAACAATGTGGTAACAGAGCGAAAACCTTACTGGACCACTCCATGACGTTCCTGATGTCCATGTGCGGCAAAACACACTATTCGTAAGTACATGAATTAACCCAAAACCCGATGATCGCTTTATCTAACAACTAGCTTCAAAATTGTAATTCTTCCCACATAGGAACCAGTCAAATCTCTAAAATCTTGTTTGGTTATTTATTATAGAGCAAAATCACATTGGGCTATCTGTTTTGTCCACCGCGGGGAATCTAACTCCGGATTTTAACGTTGTATGACTTACCGCTGTCCCACCAGAAGACCCTGTAAAACTAACCAACTGTTTTACCATCTTTCTCTATCAAAGAACTTATCTATATGCCTAATACTAAATCAGTCGCTATATAAACTTACATACATTCCAGAGTTTTCTGCTGTTATGATATTACAAAATAAAATAATCAAATTCCGGAGTGGGAGAGGTATGTCCACTGAAATGACATAGGGGCGCCAGAGCCCCATTGTAGAGCTGTCCACTGAGATGACATAGGGACGCCAGAGCCCCATTGTAGAGCTGTCCACTGAGATGACATAGGGACGCCAGAGCCCCATTGTAGAGCTGTCCACTGAGATGACATAGGGACGCTATAGCTCCATTGTAGAGCTCTGCCTATGCTCTATCCGTGATATCAGGATTCAGTAACTTAATTCTCCCACTGCTATGAAATTATAATACATAACTCGAACCGAAAGAAACGTCTCCAATTGGGTGAGACATGGGGGGAGGGGGTTAATGGCAGTTGAAAATAGCTTCAGAATGCCCAGATGTGCAGAGAGAGCCTGAGGTAATGTTGGCTTTTCTGATAACTGAAAATATAAATGGACACTTCTTAGATGCGAAAATAAGCCTACTTGACCCCTTCTGCCTCCAATTAACTGTTTAACCCTTTCTACCCCCAAATAAAAATCCTAGAAACGCCTATGCAAAGCAGTAATAAGCAACGTTTGGAACAGCTCTTATTAGAGTGGCTTGCAATATATATATATTTTAAAGAGCAAAATAATTGGCAAAGTTTTGCCCTAACTTAATTATTTATTTTTCTTTTTAGTGAAAATGAAATATAAAAATCATCAGTGGGGCGTGAACAACATTAAAAACAAGACAACATAAAATGAGAAATGGCAAATAAGACTTGCAAATGGATATTCGATAATAATGTATACACCAAAAAATATAAAAAAATTAACCAATATCTGGCTTTGTTCTTTTACCCCTTTAAAATGTATTACAAATAAAACTTCCGATAACATTCGTTCATTTCTATCTTTGAAAATGTTGTTTAGCACCCTATTAACTCATTTATAGTTTAAGATTTAGCATACATTCACATTAGATATATTTACTACGTTTTCAAATGGAATTGACTTCAAATTGCAATCCTGATTGCAAGCTAGCCACCACACAAAAGACCATGTTTCTGTTTATGTGCATGCCATTTTCGTATGAAGAAAGCAGAGCATCACCCATTTAGTAGCAAGGTGTCGCCACACAACCAGCGATGGTAACCATAATGACGTCATGCCCTATTTACCATAAGCTGGTACAATAATGACTGGTTGGAACAGAGTCTTTTACGTAGCAAAGTTAACTTAATGTAGCTGTGATATACAGAATATCCCCAGGAGTCAGTGGAAAGTTTATGGACTTACAACACTAAAAATCGGGGGTTATAACCGTGTAGGTTATAATATTGTTACGCCTCCGTCGTTACTTGATTTTCCGTAAATTCGTTCCGACGAAACTTTAACGACACAAGTCCTTTCTTAAATAAAACTGGTTTATTCTTTACGAATACAACTTTACCGATACATTTAATTTCAACAGTCGCGCTATAACAAACGCTATATCTCACGTGGCCAACAATATTTTGTCCGCATACATTCAATTATTCATTACACTGTTCATTGTCACGTCACGCCGTGACCATCTTATATATACCAGACCACCCCCAATCTAGCAAATGCTAGGGCACTCCCGAAGGAACAGGATAGTTCTAGAAAACGGGTGGCGTGATACTAGTCACGTGACCTCGCTGACGCAACAATATGTTATTTGAATACACTAGTTCATACTCTCGTTAATTCTCAATTTCATCCCGAGCCTTTGTATATTTCTGTGTTTACAATGTTATCTATATATATATATATATATATATCAGAAGGAAAACATTTTTTATGTTGGAAGTTTTGATTGGAGCCCTGGAATAGGGACAACCATCTAAAGTAAGTCTCCAGCGATTTATCTAATAAAGAAACATATATGGTGAAGTAAAGTTGTAGAAAGTTACAAAATCACCGTAAAAAACTTGTAAAACAAAAACAAAATCCATCAAAATATTGGTGAATATTTTAAATTAATTCCTCTACATAACTAATCATACTAACCTTATACTAAAGAAGTCCTACAGCATACTCTGAATGGTATCGTCAGCATGAGCAGCTGGGAAAGAAATTAAACTTTTAAATTTCAATCAATTACTATTAATCCTCCTAATGATTTTTTACATCTACATTAAATACTGTAGCAATACTAGTTAAATTCATCATTTATTTTTCTTAAAGTCAGTCTTTCTTTATTGGTCACGTGCTTTGTTCTGTCCAATTATGTTTGAACATCGATTTTTTTCTTACCCCTCTAATATTACTTTATCTATTATCTTCCTTACCTTTATTGTTCTACTAATATGTAAAATAAGTTCATCTCTCTTTCGGTAAGAGTTCCATATGGCACCCCCACTCATTTTAAAAAAAAATTCATCAAAATCATACTATTAATATGATTTATTAATACATAAATATTACATAGTCATGTGACATCATTGTTATAAGTGGTGAATGAGCTTAATATTTGCGAACGAATTTCATAGGCCTAAATTTTTGTTGTTGTTTTTCTTTCTAATGTTTAGACGAGAATACGTGTTATAAATAAGGCAGTAAAAACAATAAAATGTCTAGTGACAAGTGAAAGGACCATCAGCTTTACCAATGAATATAGGAGATAACATCGCGACAATGAACCTTAGTCTAGTTCGTAATCATATATTATTTTTCTCTATAACCATGTAAATCATATAAAACATATAACAGTAAACTAATTCGGGAAAGAGTTCCATATGGCACCCCCACCCAAAAATTGTAGAATTGCCTGGATAAAAAAAGATTCTGAAAAGGGTTTATTTTAAGGGGGCGTATTAGAAAAAGTAGACAACTACCAACTACACGTACCAGGGCAAAGACATTTGACAAGCATTTGTGTGAATACATGTGGATAACATTATATTCTGATAAAAGTAGCCTTTTTGATGCCTTTATACAAGACATTTGTAAAGTTTATCTCCAAGAAGATTGTACATCTAATTAATGAAGTAAGTGGTATAATAATGTATTAAAATTATCAGCTTTTTTTATACACTTATAATTAAATTTAATTTTAAAGAGTAGGAAAAGAAAGAAAAAAATTAAGTAAATAAATAAACGAAAAATATAGGGAACAAATTATAGGTCGGGTCATTATGTTGGGTATTTGTTCTATGGCTGAGTTTTTATTTGTTCCAGCATGTTTTTCGTTTAATTATTTACCTATTTATGTTTTCTTTTTCTTCTCTTTAAAATTAAGTTTAATTACATTTCATCTAAGGTTTGGATATGCTGTGTAAAACATACGATACCCATTATGTTTATGAAATTTTTTTGTACCTTAAAAGTGGTTAGTGTACCGGAACTGTGAATCACAAAAATCGAGTCTCACACTTCGGATCCGATTGCTTAATTTTAATAAGAATGACGGTCAAATCCCACTATAGAGTAGCCGAATAGCTGGCATGGGTACTGTTGCCCAGCTGCCTTCAATAGCTTCAAAAGCAGCATTATAAAACAATAACGAACTTAATATAAAATAAGCATTAAGAAGATTTTAGTAAAAAGTCCACTGTTAATCCTAGTTGTCACCTTAAAGTCACAGCGGATAATACCTGTGTTAATAGCTCCCAAATGCGTTGGGGATATCCCATCTACAAAACAAAATCCAAACGCTAATGCTAAACTAGCCAACAAGCATAGCAATTCAGTTAAGGGTATGGAGTTGAGTGCTTACACCCACAACGTCTCAACTCCTACTGCCTTTCACTGTCTGCAGGCAATTGTGGGAAGGCAGTTGTAACCCTTAAAAGTTCTTATAATTCCTAAAGTAGAAATGAAACAGCCCTAACATTTCTACTATATGTAACTCCCAACCTCCGCCCTTACAAAATAAATAAAATAATCTTAAATAGAACTACAAACCCTACCTTAATATTTCTTACGTAGTTCATATTCCTAACCTTCTCCCTTCCTCTCGAAAATTTATTCAAGTATAACACGGGAAAACCGAGACAAGTCCAGCTACTTGAAGTTAATCTTTCCGCTCCAGTATACTGAATAAAATTATAATTTTAAATTTAGCTACTTAAAAGTAGCTAACAGCCTCTAGTGACAAAAATTTTCCGTATAGAAAGTTTTTTAAATATTTCATGTTTGTTATAAAATAAAGAAATATTTTCACAGTTGCCAGTATTTGTAGCCATTATTTTCTAACTTATTTATGAATAATATAACGTTATCCATAAAAGCATTATCATTATTACATTACAAACTGTTGAATATATTTTTTAGCTGAGAAATAATGATGCCTTTTAACATCATACGTGTAATAACACCATTGGGGGTGGGTAGACTGAGAATGGGAAGATTAAATTCCTTTTTCTTATCATAAATAGTCAGCTTTGGTTTGTCTTCTACTAAATTAATGTCCAAGTCTAAATAGTTGACATGAACATCATTGTTATTACTTTTTTCTGTTGCAAGTTATTTCGGATATATTAAGTTTGGTGTAAAATTTAAGTTATTTATGACAATTAAATCATCCATGTAACGAAAAATATACATATATAAGTTAGGATTTGAAACCTGTTTCAAAAATGAATTTCATGAAAGAACAAATATAAATTGGCCATATTTGAAGAGAAGTTCGCTCCTATTAGAACACCCACTGTTTGTTTATATTCTTGTTCGTTTAAAATAATATAACTATTATAAACACAAAAATGAAGTACAG